ATTGCTCAAGTTGAAGATAAAGTCCACGAGAACCAAGGTGTGACCTTAAGGCCATTCCACATGAATTTAGAGCATCTCATGAACAGATTTGACACACTGAACATTAATGGCTAAAGACCAGATGAGTTGTGAGATGACATCAAGGACAGTATACGAAAGTTTAATGTCATTATAAAGACAGGTAAGAAAGAAAACACTAAAAAGGATGTCAGAAGAGATACTAACACTCACTCATATATGCAGAGTAGCTAAAGCAAATGGAAGAAGTGAAGACATTATAGAGCTGAATGGAAGATTTCAAAGGGTGGCTTGAGAAGACAAAATAAAGTATTACAATGAAATATGTAAAGACCTGGAATTAGAAAACCAAGAGAAAAAGACACTCAGCAGTTCTCAATCTGAAAAAAACTGAAAACAAAACCTCAAGTCTCAAGTTGCAATACTGAAGAAACCTATTGGCAAAATATTAAACAACACAGGAAGCACAAAAGAAGATGGAAGGAATACACAGACTCACTGTATCAAAAGGAATTGATCGATGTTCAACTATTTAAGGAGGTACCGTATGATCAAGATCCGATGGTATCGAAGGAAGAAGTCCAAGCTGCAATGGTGGTACCAGTGAAAAACAAGGCTCCAGGAACTGATGGAATACAATGGAGATGTTTCAACATACGGATACAGCACTAGAGTCGCTTACTCTTTTATACCAAGAAATCTGGAAGAAAGGTACCTGGCTGTTCTGGTTACCTTGTACCTGTCTGACAAGAATATACCACAAATAGGAAGGCCTATAACAAACAGGAGTTTATTCTCTCACAGTTTGGAGGCTTTAAGTCCAAGTTCAAAGTGCCAGGCTCTAGGGGCTACTAGGTGAAAGCCCCTCAGCTTTGGGCTTTAGCTCTGCCTCCTGCTCCCAGCTCACTGGAGCTAGAAGCATTTCTTCACTCAGACAGCTGCTGGCTGCTGAGGCTGACAAGCCTGAGGATGACAAGTAAAATGGCACAGTCCTGATGTTACCAAACCACATGGCAGGCCATTAATTTTAGTCCATTGTAAGTCTCAAGGTCAGCAGAGCATGGAGGCTGCTAAACAACGACACGACTACATGCAGGGTCCAAGCGTGCCACAGGCTAGAGACCATTCCCCGAGGCTTCTGCTTATATACAGGGAGCAGACCACATTTCTTAAGGCAGCGACCCAGCTGCTCACTGTAGATTCCACCAGAGAGTTGATTACCAGTCTCATCATGGGGAATACTATACATCAAGCTGCCCAACCATTCAACCAGGCCCAGCCAAGTTGACACACAAACTGAACTACCACACTGGCCAACAGGCTGAAAGAGGTCAATATCTGTACCCATTCCAAAGAAAGGTGATTGAATTGAATGCAGAAATTATCAAACAATAGCATTACTACCACAATAAAGTAAAATTTTGCAAAAATAATTTTAAAATCGTTGCAGCAGTACATCGACAGGACTGCCAGAAATTCAAGTTATACTCAGAAGAGGACCTGGAATGAGGATACCATTGCTGATGTCGGATGGGTCTTGGCTGAAAGCAGAGAATACCAGAAAGATACTTATCTGTGTTTTAGTGACTATGCAACAAACTGTGGATTACAGCAAATTATGGTTAACATTGGGAAGAATGGAAATTCCAGTACACTTAATTGCGCTCATGCAGAATCTGTACGTAGACTATATGAAGAAGAACACAACTCAGGATTGGAGAAAGACTCATTAATAACCTGAGATATTCAGATGACACAAATTTGCTTGCTGAAAGTGACTATGACTTGATGTACTTACTGATGAAGATCGAAGATTACAGTCTGAAATATGGATTACACCTGAACATAAAGAAAACAAAAATCTTCACAAGTGGACCAATAAGCAACATCATGATAAAAAGAGAAAAGACTGAAGTTGTCAGGAATTTCACTTTACTTGAGTCCACAATCAAGGCCCATGGAAATAGATGTCAAGAAATCAAATGATAGTGCATTGGGAAAATCTGCTACAAAAGATTTCTTTTGAAGTGTTAAAAAGCAAAGATGTCACTTGAGGACTATAGGGCACCTGACCCAAGCCACAGTATTTTCAATCGTCTCATATGCATGAAAAGTTGGACAGTGAATAATAAAGATCAAACAAGAATTGACACCTTCAAGTTACAGAGCTGGTGAAGAATACTGAATATTACAGATTGACAGCAGAACAAACAAGTATGTCTTGGAAGAAGAACAGCCAGAAATGCTCTTTAGAAACAAGGATGGCAAGATTTCCCTTCCAGTACTTTGGGTATGTTATTAAAAGGGACCAGTCCCTGAAGAAGACCACCATGCTTGGTGAAGTAGAGTGAAAAAGAAGATGACTCTCAATCGACACACTGGCTGCAACAATGAGCTCAAACACAGCAACAACTATGAGAATGGCACAGGACTGGGCTGTGTTTTGTTCTGTCCTATTCAGGGTCACATGGAGTTAGAATCAACTCAATGGCATCCAAACAGTAACAACAAGAGTTTAATGGTAAAATCTGACTAATTATCATTGCAGTGACACTCTCCCTATTAATGCTTTTTGTGTTTAAGTCTACTTTGTTAACATTTATGTAACTGTTTCAATTTTCTTTTGGTTAGTATTTGCCTGAAGTATCATTTTCTATCCTTTTACTTTCAGCCTTTCTGTATAATTACTGCTTTAGGTGTATCTTTTGTAAACTCCATTTAAATATTTTTTCAATCTATTAATAAGCTTTCTGTTATGGAGATTAGTCAATTTATATGTAACTTGTGTTCTATTCCCTCCTCACTCACTCTGCCCTCTCAGCCACTGCAGCTGCTGGTGCCCCTCCCTCCAGCTTTCACCAGCAGGTCCAGCAGCACTGGCAATAAGGACAACTGGAAGTGGGCTCCCACAAAGCTTTTATATTGGCACAAAACCCAAATCACATATTGTCCTATTTCACAGAACATAATGTGGATAGTAAGCAACATATAACTATAATTCAGCTCTCATCTTCACATCTCAATATAAATACTATTACTGTCTGTGCACTGTTTTAGTTTGTCTCCCTCACCTGCTTCTGCATTTGAGACAAATGACCACATTTTAAGTTTTAACAAATTACTGGGCTTTATATTATAAGGTATTAATAACATTAATGCCACAATATGATGAACATGTTTTGCATATGGCAAGGACATGAATCTCTGGGGTCAAAAGGGTAGAATGTTATGGATTGAATTGTGTCCCAAAAAATATGTGCTGTAAATCCTAGCCTCTGTGTCTGTGCTTATAACCCCTTTTGGAATGGGCTGTCTTTGTTATGTTAATGAAATAGCATTAGCATAGCGTGTATCTTCAATTTCTTTTGAGATATAAAAGAAATTAAATAAGCGAGCAGGTCAGAGATGGAGAAAAAGAGATGCCAGGCCAAGTCTGAGCAAAAGCTCAGACAAGATAAGGACCTTCCTCCACAGCCAACATGGAAGGAGTCTTCCTCTAGAACCAGCAATCACTGTGACTAGCAAAGGAGGCAACAGTTCATGGAAGCACTCAGTCACACATTCCATATTCTCTTCCTATTCCTGACTCTCTTCCTTTCTCTGTTGCTCCAGGTGAATAGAGACCAACTGTTGTGCTTTGTAAATGGCCACTTTCAAGCTTTTAAGACCCCAGGCACTACACAAGGAATCAGGAGGTAGAATAGAACCATTAAACATGTTACTCAGCCAATTAACTGGGTTGTCCCATGAAACCTGACCCTAACTTCCCAAACCAAGAGACCAAATTCCATGATGTTTTTTATTTGTACACAAGCAGCCCCAGCAGCTATTCTTTTTTTGTTTATTTGTTTTTCGGTTGCTGTAAATACTGCCACATGTTTCTATGAATAACATTTTGTTGAACATAGTCACCCTCATTCATTTACATATTGTCTATGGCTGTTTTCATGAAACAACAGTAGACTTGAGTAGATACAACAGAGACTGACCCACAAAGCTGAAAGTATGTTTCCTCTGGCCCTTTGCAGTACAAGTTTAACAATCTTATCTGGAGTATTCCCACTAAAGTTGGGAAAACACAACAGTGTCTACCATTAATTATTGGTATTTAACATTTTTCTGGAGATATCATACAACACAATTTGTTGTTGTTATGCACCGCTGAGTCAGACCCAACTCATAGCGACCCCTCCTTGGGTTTCCGAGGCAGTATCACTATGGAAGTAGATTGCCCAACCTTCCTTCCGAGGAGCAGCTGGTGGGTTTGAACCGCCAGCCTTCTGGTTAGCAGTCAAGTGCCTTAGGAACTATGCTACCAGAGGTCCAGAACGCAATTAGACAAGAATATTTAAAATTTCAATTTTTGCAACTAACTGCTTCCAGTTCTGTGAAAGAATCATGTACTCCCTTGACACTGCCTTTTCTCTCTTATCATTCCCTTCAGTGGACAAAAAAGCTAGCTTTTTAGTTCATGCATACCCAACTCAACCAAAATTACTTTTTAAATGCCAAAGTTTTCTTAATAAAACAAAGTGGGTACATATATTGTATCTCAATAGATGTTGAAATTATCAGTATTTTCAATTTAATTTTTGATTTTTAAATATCAAAAAATATAAGGAAAAAATCAGTAGCATTATTAATAGATTGTTGGTACTACAGATGGTGCCCTGGTGGTGCAGTGGTTAAGCGCTCAGCTGCCAAACAAAAGGACAATGGTACGAATCCACACTCTGTGGCAGAAAGATGTAGCAGTCTGCTTCTGTAAAGATTTACAACGTTGGAAATCCTGTGAGGCAGTTCTACCCTGTCCTATAAGTTCATTATGAATAAGAATTAACTTGGTGGCAATGGCTACTGGTACTACAAAAAGCTTGTAAATGCAATTAATAGTATACTTAACATTTATTTGAATATGATTTATATGTATACCATTCTTTGACAACACATACAAAAATAAAAAAGCACATTGTTACACATACCCTTCTTGAAGAGATATTTCTTGGTTTTCTTCTTCAGGGCCACTGCTATCACTGTGTAATTCAGGTTCATTCTCATCTCTTCCTGGTAGAGTCTCCCAGCTTTCATCACTTGAAGACTGATCTTTTTCTGTACCAGAAAATCGATGAGGCAAAGAAGCAGACCATTCCCCATCACTGCATTCTGAACTGCAAATTTATAACAGGAATAAAATAAACTATGACTAGATGTTCACACATTTACATCATTAGAAAAGATAACCAGGCATCCTGGTATTGAGCGGCCTGCTGACCTAGACATCATAGTACCAAATGTACTATTGATATCACATCTGCTTCATCAGATGTCAATTCATTTTTTTAAAATACAGAAACAAATTCAGCAGACTGTAACTATTCCAAATGAATATGGCAAGTTAAGAAATATAACATTTACTTTTTCTTTTACTAAATTATATAAATCCATGGTACCTGGATATAGGCTCTTAATATTTTACATATTTATAAGTAAAATATGAAATACAATTTGATAATCATAAATTAACTGTTAACTGTAATAAATAATAGATTACTCATTTGACTATAACAACTCCTGAATTACCTATTGACAACTAGAGACATAGTCTCTACAAATAAATATGTACTACTACTGTCATGCTTTGAAAGGAGCTCTAGTGGCATAGTGGGTAATATATTTGGCTGCTAACCTCCAGGTCAGTGGTTCAAACTCACCAGCTGCTCCGCAGTAGGAAGATGAAGCAATCTACTTCCGTAAAGATTTACAGCCTTGAAAACCTGATAACAGCTGCTATGAGTCAGAATTGACTTGATGACAGTGGATTTGGGTTTTGGTTTTTGCCATGCTTTAGAAAGCTTTTTTAAAGGTTTTTCTTTTTCACAATACTTCTTAAAGGATTAGTCTATGTTTAAAAAGGGAGGAAGATTCAACTTCATAAAAAATAGCACTGACAAATCTTCACTGAGTCCTTAGATAGGCCCATGCACACAAAGCAAATTTCAGTTCAAGACAGTATTTAGGTAGCAAATCAAAAGGTATGATAAAAAGTATATAAAGACCCTCAGAAAATTGCTCTTGGTAATATTTAAGTAACTACTTTAAGTCTTTAAAGAAGTAGCCATTTTACATTACCAATGGCTAAGGTATTATCTTAACGCTGGAGATCGCACGATAGAATTTTGAAAGAACAATGACTTATTTACTGCAAATACCTTATTTCAACAACATAAGCGGAGGCTATGCACATGGACTTCAAAAGATGGAGTACACAGGAATCAGGCTGACTAAATCTGTAGAGAGGTGAAGAAGAAGATCAGTATCTTCAGCCAAAACAAGGCCAGAAGCTGACTATGGAACAAACCATCAACTGATCATATGGAAGTTCAAGCTGAAGCCGAAGACAACTAAAACAAGTCCACGAGAGCCAAAATGTGATGCTGAATAGATCTGGCAAGATGGTGGACTAGGCAGAAAGACTGCACAGACCCTCTTCAACAAAGAAAAGGGAAACCAGTTAGCACAGACACAGAAGATAATCCTGGACCCCTGA